TTGCAGGACTTTTTATCAGAACTACTAACAAGTTGCTAAATGTACTTGTAACAGATGTTTGGGCCACAAAAGCTTAAACATCATATGGGTTCTTAGGGTACCTTCTTAATTTTGAGATATACCTAGCTCTCCATCCAGAATTCCTTCATGGCTCTTCAGCTTTTTAGCATTATCACTGGATTTTATATCAATATGGCTCTTTTTTACATCTCCAAATAGTCAAAATGTTTATACAAAATTTTTATTTTGCAAAAATAACTCAAGAAGAGTAGATTGGAAATTCATTTGGCTTGTTTATATAGAGAAGATAGTTGTCATATTAAGTTTCTATGACACTAACTTGGTTGAAGGAAGATATTTTTAAAGGGGTAGTTTAAAGTGCAGTGATCCTTAAAATGTTATTAGATAGTGTTCATTTCTATCTGTTTAGGAGATTGTAGCATCCTGTTGGATTCAGTTCATATGCAGAAATTCTAAAATGTAACTTGAAGGAAGCTGAAAGCATAACAGTGAATAGTGCAATAATAAAAATGACTGAGGTTTGTTTGATTCTTTTAAAATGAAAAGGAAAAAACCTGTGGTATAAACATTAAAATATAGGAGTGACTTAATGCATATGCAATGCTGCAGAGAGACAGATGAAATTTACTGACTCACTGAAAACTTTGACAGGCTCATTGCATTTTTGAAGTCAAATTTGAATTATTAAAGCAGCCTTTCTTTAGTAAATTGAATGTCTACTGAGAAGATTACATGGAGCAGTAAACTTGTATTTGCAGTAGGTGCTGTTTTAATGGGTGTCAAAACTAAACTGGCCTTTGTGAACTATTATAAGGAATATACAGAAATGCTTCAGTTAGAAAGGATATAGTTCCAGATGTAAGTCATATATTTTTCCAAATGTGTTCCTAGGGAAAATAAGCCTAAAGCAAGCAGTTCATTTATAATTGAATGTAATATTAGGAAAACAAAAGACCTTCAGGCAAAAACTGTTCCTTACAGAGGTTTTATGTTTTCCATTTGAAGATAGTACAATTACAGCTTGACCTTTCAAAAAAAATCTCTGATTATTTAAAATATGAGAGTATTCAATGTGAAGTTGGAAAATTCATTAACCCAACTGAGAATAGTTGCACCTTAAAGGCAAGTTAATCATGGAGTTTCATTAAAATATAAAATAGTTGAATATGATTTTTAAAATAAAACCTAAGATAACTTAGGAATCTAATATTTTAAATAATATGGTAAAGGTATTCAGAGACATTGTACCTTTGTGCTTAGATTTTTTAATTTAATGTTTGTAGTGTACGGATTTGAATGTTTTGTGTCACGTGCATGTTAGTATAGTGGAAGCTTAAGTTCTTTTATAATACTACTGTAAGCTTATAGTAATATAAACTCTTGCAGAAGGGTAGAATTAATTTTGAATATGTTATCTGATACATATCCTTGCTTCACTGTGTGCTACTTATTTAAATAAAGCAGCTAACTTTTCCCTGATAATAAATGTAGAAACAAGTGATTGTTTTACTCTGACATTTTCAGGATGCTCTCTGTACAAGTAGAGTACATTTTTCCCTTTCCTATATTCTTTGACTATAAATTAGTATTCTTTTAAAAAAGACTTTAATGAAAGTTCTTTCATGTTGTCATTAACTAGATGTTAAGATTTACTCTTCAGTTAGGTGGGATTGTAGGGTGTATCTATACATATTATTAGAGATTTTTTTTTTTGTGAGGAAGTTTGTCCCATTCATTCATTCATTCATTTATACAATCATTTATATTAATATATTTTATACATTGACTTATAATTACTACTATTGTTGCTAAATTTTTTTCCGATCTTTTTCCCCATGTCCTTTGGTGTGTCCCCTTTTCTTTTTTTATTATTAAATAAAAAAACAGTCAAAACAGTTTTCCAAAGTTTCTTAGACCAGCTCATTTTCTCTCTACCCCCTTCAGTGGGGTTATGACATTCACTTATAACTCAGATTCATTTGTCACAGACTGTATTTTATTTGAAATTCCCCCAAAGATGTTCCACCAACATCTTTTTTCCATACATTAAGGCCCACTCTTTGTTTATAGTTCTGTGGGTTTTGACAGATGCACAGGGTCATCTGTCCACTACCCTGGCACCATACAATTGCATCACTAAAATTTCTCCTGTGCATCAGCTTTGTAGTCAGCCAATCCCCTATTTCCCAAGTTCCTAACAGCCTCTGATCTTTTTAGTTTTGGCTTTTCCAGTGATTCTAGTCATACTGTATGTATCATAGAGAAGTTACAGATATTATAGACATATAGATAGATACTATTATAGGGAAGTTACAGAAAAACAAAGGGGAGAAGCTTTTTGGATCTGACATCCTTTACTTAGCAAAATGTGTTTGACTTATCCATGTTGTTGCATAAATCAAAGAGTTCATTCCTTTCTATCCCTGCATAGTATTCTGTTGAGTGGGTGTATCATAGTTAACCTATCCATTCACTTGTTGATGGACATCTTAGTTCCTTCTAAGTTTTTGGTGATTATGAATAAAACCGTTTAATCATTTATGTGTAGATTTTTGTATGAATGTAAGTTTTCTGTCACTTAAGTAATAGTCTAACAGTCTAACTATTGGGTTGTATGGTAAGTGTAGATTTAACATTATGAGAGACTACCGTATGTTTTTCTAAGTGATTGATTGTGCTGTTTATCATTCCCACTAGCAGTGAGTGAGAGTTTTCATTGCTCTTTATCTTTGGCATCATTTGTTATTACTATTTACTTGTTAAGTTATGCAATCTAATTGGTCTGCTCTTGCTCATATTTAAATTTTCTTACTTTGAGTTTTTAGATTTCTTTATATATTCTGGATGCAAATTGTTAGATATGTAATTTGCAAATATTACATTCCTGTATGTAGCTTGTGTTAATATATTATCTTAGATATATTTCCAGAACAAAAGTGTTTAATTTTGATAAAGTCCAAGCTATTACTTTTTACTTTATGGGGTATGTCTTAGTGTTGTATCTAACAATTCTTTGCCTAGCCCTAGGTCAAAAAGATTTTGTCCATTTTTTTATTTTTGGTAAAAATTTTATATTTAACATTAGGTCTGTGACCCACTTTTAATTCTTATATAAAGTGAGAAATTTAGGTGTAAGTTCAGTTTTTTCTTTGATTGTGGATGCTTAGTTCTTCCTGTACTTTTTTGTTGGAAAAACTTCTTTGTCAAAAGGTTATGTTTGTGTGGAGCTACTTTTGGAATCTCAGCTCTGTTCCATGATCTGTGTGTTATCCCTTTACCAGCATCATACTATCTTGATACCTACCACAGAAAGCCTTAAATTTGGATAGTATGAGTCCTCAAAGTTGCTTCATTTTTTAAATTGGTTTTTAATAGTTTTGGCTCTAGTTCTTCTGCCTTTCCATACTAATCTTAGAATCAGCTTGTCTACAACTACAAAATATGTTGGGTTTTGTTTGGAATTACATTAAATATATAGACCAGTTTGGGAGAGAGTTAGTATTTCATGTTTTTGTTTTATTTTTAAAGATTTATTTATTTTTGCATATAAGAGCTGAATATTTTTATTTATACTGAACTCTTCCATCTCTGTTTCTGGGATTTTAGTGTCAGACTTGAGACACTCTATTTTATTTTATTTTTTTCAATCTTTTCTCTATTGTTCACATTAGATAATTTCTGGTCACATATATTTAGTTCACTTTTTCTTTTGTCATCTCCATGCTGCTAGTAGGCTTCTCCAGTGCCTTTTATTTTGGTTATTAACATTTTCCATCTCTATAATTTGCATTTGGTTCTTTCATATCTTTGATTTATTTTCTGAGCCATTCTTTTTTTCTATTTGTTTCAAGAATGTTTGCTCTTCTTGAAGTATTCTCTAACAGTTGCTATCATAACTTCAGTATTTTTCTCAGATGAGTCCAGCATCTGTGTTTCCTAGTATTGACATCTTTTCTCATGCTAGTTGAGATTTTTCTAGTTCTTCTTATGCCAAGTAATTTTGGATTATATCCTGGGCATTTTCACTTATGTTATGAAACTTAGTTCTTGTTTAAATCCTATGAGGAATGATGATATATTTGTTTTAATAGATAATCAATCCAGTTAGGTTCTGATTGCAAGTTCCTCTAGGTTGTAGTTACAACATCATTTCAATTTTCAGTCTTTGCCATTGCTATTTGGATTTGTCCCATACATGCACCACCCCATTGGTCATGCTAGAATTTGAGTGGTGGTTCTGTTCAAGTCATATGCTTATTTGGGTCAGATCCACACAGGTGATGCTTAGGAGTGATTTCAGGAGTTCATAAACTTGACGTATTGTTTTCCCAAGCTCCCCCCTTCTCTGTGATTTCCTGGTAAGTTTTATTTCCCAGGACTCCCAATTTACACTCTCTGACCAGAATGGTAGGGCTTTCCCCCTCTCCAGTGTACACTTACTACAACTGTGACGTATCCAGGACCACGCGGCAGGAAGACAGAGAGAATGAGGGGAAAAAGCAACAGGGATTTACCACATCCTATTGGGACTTCTGATTAGAGAGGCAGTACTCTGCCATCTAAGTTTAGTGCCCTGATAGTCCCCCATTACCACAACTGACATAGGAGACGCACTTGAGAAAAATGGGGATAAAAAGGGATTAGGGAGGGATTTCCACACCTTATGAATTCACTTTCCCTCTCAAATAGCCAGAACTAGCGGCTTCTTCTAAAGCTTTTCTGTGCTAATGCCCACTTCTGGGAGTAGAGCTGTATTAAGTTAAGTCTGGAGGATACCAATGAGAAACAAAGTGTTTCAGTGGTACTTCAGATTTTGTACCCAATCTACTCACCACTGTTTACTTTTTATTGCCCTCTAGAAACTGCTCCATGTATTCTATCTACAGCTTGTCACTAACTTTTCACTCAGAGACAGGTTGGAGTGTGATTTCTCTGGTTTATCTGGAACTGGGGATCTGACTTAAATTTTGTTTCTCCAGGAGTTTGGCAAGAAACTGAAGTTTTGATCCAATATATTTTGAGTTTGAGACCAGCCATGTACTAGCATTTAGATTCTTTCATTTGATTAAGGTAAGATTGCTTAATAAAATTTAATCATACTCATATATTTTCATACATTACATTTTAATATGTGTTTTATTAACACATTTTAGTTTTTCAGTCTACCTGAAATTCTGATGAGAGAAAATATTTTCCTGGTTTTTTTTTATTATTATGTAAATAGCTAATGTTCCATGTAACTTCTAGATACAAGGGAGACCTAATTTTATGTTCACTGAATGTATATTGATAATCAGATCTGTTTGCCTGCTGCAGCAATCAGCAAACTATAGCCCTTAGACTGTTCATCTGTTGTGGTAAATACAATCAATTTAGTTGAAACGTAACTACAACCCAAGCAAGGCTGCCTTAAAACTACAATGGGAAAGTTCATGAGTTGCAACAGTGTCTGTATGCTCTGCAAACCTAAAATCTGGCCTTTTAAGAAAAGTTTGCTGCACTTTAGCTTAGAAGACTGAATCAAGGTGACTTACTATGCTATGCAATTGTAATAACTGAAGTGATAACCAGTTTTAGTTTTCAATATATATCATCATGTATAGAAACCAGTTAGTGATTTGAGTATGTCTCTATTCTATCCCAAGCCAACTTCCTAAAGGGTCTATATTGTGACTTAGAAAGAGGTGTTTTCTGAAATAGTTGATGTTAAATAAAAGACAATGCTCTCTATCAGCAGCTAAAACCTAAGTGCTTGTATCTAAGTAGAAGTCTACATTTTAAAAAAATGAAAGCTTATATGATAAAGGTCAACTGTTTGCCTGCTTTAAAATATTTGCATAAATGTATTTCATATTTTGTCTTTTCTAGTAAATGTAAACAGAAAACTAGAAATACTTTGATAGTAATAATTGTTTTTAATACCTGTTTTATATACTCTAAATGTGAAATTTTTAATGAAAATATTCTGTTGTAAAACTATTGCTATAAGTTGGCATTGTTTCTCTCTGAAATTTTTATTTGAATCACTTGTACCCATTTATGATTCTTCGAAGAAGAAAAAAATAATTGAACCTTGAAAATCTGTAAAATGTTTTCCAGACTTTTCAGAAATCTCTTGATTAAAGAAAAAGGCCTATTTTTTAAACAAGCCATATAAATTAGAATTTCTAAGCAATATCAAATAAAGGAATTTTTTTTGGAAAAAAAACAAAATGTGAAAAAGGAAATTTTTGCTAGCTTCTAGATAATATTAACAAAATTAAAATAAATTTCTGTGAAATTTTCATCTTGTAAAGAGCTATTTGATTTGAAAAATAACCTCTTTTATGTTGTATATACCCCAAGATATGTTTGGTTAACAAATAGACCTGTATGAGGTGCAGTTCCTGTTCTCATAAAATGAAATTAAACCTTAAATTTTTGCTTTTTAAAGGGAGAAATCTGGAAATTTATTTGAAATAATATACTTTGTACATTTTGATACCGTCTGTATTTTATATGTAAGTCAGTATAGATTTAGAATTAAAGGGTTCTACATTTGAATTATGGACGATATGTGAAATTAAGCTGCAGAAATTTTGCTAGCTCAAATATGTGAATGAGGCCACCTTAATATATTATGTGTGTTTAGCTGTGGTCTTGACTGAATTGGTTTTTAAAAGTTCCTATCTGATTCATATACTGAGACTTATGAATCCCTTTTAAATGATGGATAAGAAGATACAGTTGAAGCTTTTTGCCTCAATCAAAATCATATCTTAAGACATCTTTTTTTAAACCTCTCTGATTTATGTTTCAGTGAAGTACTTTAAAGAAATAAACCTTAGTAACAACCTTCAAGCTTTAATTTTTTTTCCCCCATATAACCTATACAGGCTTAGATTAGTTAGTTTTCTAGGTCAACATAAAACATTTCATTTTAGAAGTGAAATACTGAGTCATTCCCTGGTTGACATTATTAAATGAAATTAGATGTGTGTTTGTTGAAGATGGGCAGAATTTCTTTAATTGAATACGCTGCTTGTCTTTTCAAGTATACATGATTGGATAATGAAGGGCTTGGATAGAGTTGTTTTGGAATATTTTTTCTGGAGGTATTCAGACTACAAAAGAAAGTCAAGGTCTTAATCTACTTGGGCTACTATAGCAAAGTGAGATACAGTAGGTAATGTAGAAACAATAGAAATTTATTTCTCACAGTTCTGAGTTCAGGGAGTTCAGGATTCTGGCACTGGCATATTTGGTTTCTGGTGAGAAGTCAATTTATGGTTCATAGTAAGAGTGTCTTTTTGCAGTGTTCTCACAGAATGGGTGAAGGAACTTTCTGGCACCTCTTTTAAGGAAGGACACACATCCCATTCATGAGTGTTCTGCTTCAAGAAGTAATCACTTTCCAAAGACCCCACCTTCATATACTATCACGTTGGAGATTAGGATTTCAACATTAGAATTTTGGAGGGACACAAACATTCAGTCTATAGCAGTCAACTTTTTAATGTTGTAAACCCTGATTAATGCCATTGTATAATCTTTAGGGCAATAAACAAACTCATTTGGAAGTGAACCGCCTAGGTTTGCCTTCACAGAAGACAATGTAAAAATATCTTACTTTAATTGACCACGATGGGATTTTTTTTTAAAGAAATTTTAGGGCCTTCCTTGTGGCCCAAGGGGTTAAGTCTCAGCACTATGAAACGCTATTCACAGCTACCGCAGTACGTGTTAGATCCCTGGCCAGGGAGCTGACCGACAAGGCGCAGCAGACCTCTCCTATCTTGCCCGCTGTTCCCGTCAGCAGTGTATTTCAGTCCATTCGCCTGTTGTGCTACCCACTCTGTCTCTGGTGAATCCTCTCATCCCTCACACATCTGGCCTGTACCCCAGTTCTTGTATGGATAAATAAATAAATCTCTTTTTTTTTAAAGATTCATTTATTTATACAAGCACTGGGTATAGTCAGAAGTGCGGGAGGGTGAGAGAATTCACCAGAGCCAGAGTGGGGAACAGAACAGGCAGACTGACGAAATACACTGCTGAGGGGAGCAGTGGGTGGCAGGAGAGGCCTGCGCGCCATGTGGGACCCTCGCCTGGTGGCCGGGGATTGAAGCGCTGTTGCAGAGGCTGCGGGCAGCTTCACAACCCAGCGCTCAACCTCTGTGCCGCTGGGGAGGCCCAAAATAAATAAATCTTTAAAAAAAAATTTAGTGTGTTTTGTCTTCACACTCATTTTGTATCAGATTCTTTGTTTTTTATTTTGAAAAAAATCTATTCCTTGAAAGGGTATACACATATTTGAAAGAGAGGAATCAACTTTTTATAGCTTCCTTTTGGAAAAAGATCTTTTGATTTTTGAATAATTTTAGATGTACAAGTAAGTTCTAAAACTAGTACAAAAATTATGTATATTTTTCACTGTTTCCCTTAATTTTTTTTTTTAATAGAGGCATGCTTTATTTATTTATTTGTTTGTTTGTTTGTTTATACATGCACTGGGTACAGTCAGAAGCGCGGGAGGGTGAGAGAATTCACCAGAGCCAGAGCAGGGAGCAGAGCAGGCAGAAGGACCGAAGTACACTGCTGAGGGGAGCAGCGGGCGGCAGGAGAGGTCTGCGCGCCATGCAGGACCCTCCTCCGGTGGCCGGGGAGCAGCCGAGGATCGAACCGGCGCGGCAGAGGCCGCGGGCAGCTTCGCAACCCAGCGCTCAACCGCTGCACCACCGGGGAAGCCCTGTTTCCCTTAATGTTAACATCTTTCATAACTTTGGTACAGTAATCAAAACTAAAGATTTACAACATTGACTTGTAAATTATAGATTTTATTAGAATTTCATATAACTTTCCAGTAATTCCTTTTCCAGTACATTTATTTATTGCCTTCCTCTCCTATAATTTCTGCCAGTTCCTCCATCTTTCCTTGTCTTTCATGAACTTCAGACTATTCCTGGTTGGATGTTTTGTAGAATATTTTTGAAATTGGTTTTCTCTGGTGTTTTCTCATAGTTAAATTGCAGTTACAGAGGTGAGGAAAGAATACCAGAGATGATGTTTCCTCAGCCCAAGATATCAAGGGCTACTGTTTCATTGAAGGTAGTATCAGTAACCTTGATCACTTAATTATGATGTTGCCTGCCAGATTTTTCCTCTGAAAAATTACTATTTTCCCGTTAATTAATAAGTACTGAGGGGAAAATATTTTGAGTTTACACAAATAACCTATTTGTCCTTGAATTTTTGGTAATTTTCTATTCCCCTTCTTATTTCTGCATTTGTTAACTTTAATCGTTCTTTCAGAAAATGATATCCCAAGCAAAATAATTATAAAACTAGTGGACATTCATAAACAAAGTGAGATTTCTGACTCTGCAAGATGCTATATACTCATCATGTTTTTTTCACTGCCTCAGCAATAGGATCTTCCTCTATACCAAGGAGTCTATCTTATTGGAAAATAGTATTTAAAAACCAGCATTTGGGTGCAAGGTATCTTCATTGCTACTGAGGTGTTACTACTTCTAGGCCTTTCAGTGGTCAAAGCTATACTAACCTACTTATGTGCACATAGCTGTTTGTTTCTGTTTGTACAGTCACATCTGTATATACATGAAACAAGTTAGTTCATATTGATACCTCCAACTCCAGTCTAGCACCTTAGGGATTCTAGCATTCCTCTTTTTGCTCATTAATAACTTCTTTCTCCACAGTGAGAAACCTTACTGTTATTATCTACAGTATATTTACTTGTTTACTGTATGCATAGTTTTTTTCAGAATTGCTGACCCATACTTATGTGAGAGACTAATTTACTAGTATTTGTGTACAGTCCTTTTTATCTTCTCAGCCAAAAGTGCTCATTTGTAGAGTTACTGAAGTCCAATCTCTTCTTCCATATTCCCTTCAGTTTGCTGTGTCATTCATTTGTAATAGTTGGTTCATTTTTCACAGCTTGCATTCCATCCTTGGTTTCTCTGACAGCTTGGTTTGGGGGGTGGGGTGTGTGTGTGTGTGTGTGTGTGTGTGTGTGTAATTAGTATCCAGTAAAATTCACTCTTCCTTTTGGGCAGTTCTGTGGG